AAAAATGTAGCTACAGACAGACTAGCACTGTGAATCACCTCACTTGTGCACCTTTTCTACCATCAATAATGCATAGATCCAAGTCTCATTTACATTTGCAGCCATGGCTTGCGTCTACCTGGAGAGAACAGGCTGCAGGATGACACATGTACCCTGCGTGTCCTGAGATACTTTCTGTGCCACAGTCCAGTCCTTTCCTCAAGGCAACTCTAGACAGCACAAGCAACCTGCACTTACTCACATATTTGCAGTACTTGAACCAAAACGGCATTATATTCAGTCTGCACTTATTTCTAGGACAGGGAGGAAAAAGAGAGATGACTATCGACCTGGCCTAAAAATTTACATGTGTATAAACTTCTCAAGATACTAGTGTGTGAAAGGGGCTAGAGGACTGAACGTCTCTGTTCAGTGTAAATGAGAATCAGTTTACTGAGAATCAAGGTGGGGGAAACAACTGCTGAGAACCCAAACCCAGCTGATAGCAGATACCTCTCACCAGCCAACAGTTTCCATCGGGGTTGATAAAGGAGAAGCAATGGGATTTTGTATGGTCTTTGTGAAGAACTCTGCATCTCCACCTATTCCCATCGTTTTTTTCTCAGCAAACAACCCATAATGTCCAGTGAGGAACAGCTCGGTAGTAATGTCGTATCTATTTGTCTTCCAGAAACTGCATTGAAAAAATGTGCCTTCACAATGAGCTTGGCCTTCCCTCGTCTGCAGAAAAGGGAAAGATGAGAGCGATGCAAAAATCAGCTGCAGTAAAAATCTGTGAGAAACAGGATCCTTCTCTTTGCTAACCAGCAAGACGTACATCAACCGAAGGATTTAGGAAAGGCTAGGTAACAGGTGGAGAATACAAACACCACTTGTAGAAGACAGACTACTAGAAAACAGCACACACTGCTTGCCAAAATAAAAAGCCCTGCTGAGATAGCTGTGCATTTGTTCAGGAGCCTGTGCTTAATTTTAAGGATAATTAGGATTTGTCTGAAGCCAGAGTGGATATAAATAGCAACTGAAACCTGCTAATATCTTTCCTCCATCAGTTGGGCCATGAACTGTTTGGCAAAAGGGACTCTTTGTGATACTAACAAGTCGTGTCTGCTCAATCACAGCATATCAGCACTGACTCATGCAAGCTGCAAAGGGGTTTTAAATGCCAGGGAGAGCTGGTCTTTTGTATTCTGGCAGCTCCTTACTGCTGCTTTATACCACTCCCTCTCAAATGAAGAGCCTGGAATAAATGAAAAAAAAAAAAAAAAAAAAAAGAAGAAAAAGATGTCAGCTGCTTCACAGTGTTTAGGGCTCCCCTGGAGCTTAATTATATGGGAACTGTGACATGCAGTCTGTCAGCTAGAAGGTGGCAGATCCCTGTGGCACAGTTTGAAAGGTGTGTTGTGAAACACTACTTGTTTGCTCTAGACCTATAGATAACTGTATGGCATGCCCTGTGCAAACCACAGGTTCCCACAGCTGCCTGTGGGTTCCTCATGTTTGTCACCTGTGGTGTGCATGGCAGTGAGTTCCTAGATTCAGGTTGCAGCATCGCCACGCACACTGCAGTTTGATTCTCCATTTAGCTGAATGACACATAAATATTCTCATCTTCACCAAATAAAAAAACCCCTCACTCATGTTAGTTTCCTGCTGCTCTGTAACTCTAAACCACAAGCAGGGTTAAGTGATCAGCACCGTAACCTTACAAATTTTCGGACTCTAAGTTAGGGCCATAACTAAGGGAGATGTATTGCCCCCTAGGAATGTGATAAACAGCCCTCCAGCATAATTCTGAAATGATGCAGCACAGAGATCATATTCCAGAATATATTTTCAAATGTACAGCATCATTTCCCCTGTTTTTATTTTTTAAATCATAAGCACTAAAATCATTAATTTCTAAGGCTCTCTCTTGTGTTGTGTCTAGCTGGCACAGAAAAAAGAAAATGACAAAAAAATTTCTGTCCCAGTTTATATTTTCCATTTGTAAACATTTACTCCATTCTCAGAATTAACAAGGAACAGCTTCTTCTACTACATGCAGGAGGAGCCTTCATAAACTTGTCACATCCTGATGTTAGTAGCATATGGTATTGAAAATATTCCTACTGCTTGGAGAGAGAGCTGTTACAAATATTTCAAGCAACAGTTTGTAGATATAATTCTACAGTGCACCAATATTTTTCTCATACTTTTACATTTAACCATATAGTAAAAACACCCCATGGAGTTTCAAAAAGGATGAGCAAGACCATAGATTTTTGGAGTCCTTAAAAGAATATTTCCTTTCAAATACCATATGCATAAGACAGAGCCTGGTTCCTTCTTCTTCATTTTACAAAGTAGAGGAGTGAATCCTCTTTTTTCTTTTTTTTTTTTCTTTGCTATCATGAAATATAGGAATAACTATGCTGCACATAAGGAAAATCAGACTGCCTTTCTTTTCAGCTTAAGGAATATAGGCTGTGCCTTACAGAGCATAGATTGCCCTGGCTGCCTTGCAAATTGAAATATGACAATACAAAAAACAAGAGATGAGAAATTGGAGTGTTAAGCATAAGGCCAGAAGGCAAGACTTCTCAGGGACTTAATATGGAACTGGCATCAAAAGATGAAATCGGTCAGAGGATAACATCATTAGTCCTCCAGATATACTGAGCAGCAGGATATGTCAGATGGGGTCAAAGAAGGGCAGGATCATCGCCCTGAGGGAATATATGGAGTTAAATGGTTGCCTTTCATGAAGAAACCTATTCCTTATCTGCTCCCTCAAAAGGATTCTGTGTCTCTGAACAGTGTAATTCCATCTCAGCTCACTTTTCCCAGAAGATGACTGAACTGCCACTGGCTTAGCTACCAGTATTCAGTTAGTTGTCTGGGGGGGATAGGGGCAGGTAGAGAAGATAACCGGATGGTTTTATGGTATCTGATACAGTGGTTTCCTGGGTCCTCCAGTAGCCCCCTTCCCTCATCCCATTTGCTAGATGATAGATAGTGTGTTTCTACTCATTCCTTCACCATGAACATTTTTCCTACTCTTCTCAGTGCTCATGTAGCCACAGCTCCTTACTGTAACAGCTGAACATTGCCTGGCCTCTGCCTGCTTATTTTTGCAATCTATCTGAGAAGGGTAGTCTTTCATACTTGACAGGAGGGGAGCTCAAGTGCAGAAAAACTCATCTCTAGTTACAAAGGTAATTTTGTGGGTAAGCAGGTAGTTGAATGGGGATTTCTAAGATTAAGGTACATCCTAATTTACTGGCTATAACTCTTAAGCCATACTTTGTTAGCACTGAAAGCTTCAGGGATTTCAAAACGTATGCCATTATTTTTCCACAATATATACTATCCTGTAACAGTCTTCTTTCCTCTCCTTTCCCTGAAATAATAAGACTTTTCTCATTGAGGCCAAGTCTACAGACAGTTACTTAATCCAATCTGACTGCTAAAGCCTTGTGCAAAACAACACAGGTAAGAGGGAAAAGAGGAATGCTCAGTTTGCTCTGAAACTTATTTACAGCATAGCAGCAGCTAAAGAATACAGTTATGGCAGAAAAACCAACCTGCAATGTTTTGCCTTGGAAAGCCTCAGAGTGAAAAATTAAGGCAGGGTAGGTCAATTGAGAGATGCATACATTAAGCACATTTTCTATCTTGCCTTAATAATGTTGTATTCCGAATGCAGCAGCACACGCTGCTTCCAGTCTTTAACTATCCAGTGAAACATGACCATTAAGTATATTCAGGAGAAAATACAAACATGAGAAATATACCATGACATACTGTAGAAAAGACACACAGGGAAAACAGAGGGTAAACCCAAGGGCAATCAAACAAGAAATATGCTGTACAAAACACAGTTGATATAACACAGAATTCAGAGGTGAGAGAACAGCTTTAAGCAAAAACTAAAAGAAAAACACTCAAACAACTCCTTCCCCCTCATGCTGCCAGATTTATGGTTTCTGTTCCTGAAATCTAGGGCAGTCAGAATAACCAAATTTTGATACTTCCTTAGGTCTAGCTAGACCAGATGTAATCTAGCTCTCAGATGACAGATCTGCCAGGGAACAACAAATACACAAAAGTGATTGTTAACAAAGTCCTTTGCAGGGCAAGTTGACCTGGTATGTTATTGTGAAAAGAAACAAAGCAATGGAAACACCAACATAATTTGTATTCAACAAGAACAGTATGCTCAAAGATACCACAGGAACTTAGGCGAAGAGTTATAACAAATTTTCTGCCTCTACTATTTTTCCTAAAACATTGTATTCAGCTTTATTTTTGGCACCAATAGCATTATCTTTCGTCCACAAATTGCACTTGAAAAGAATCACACATTTTAGGTTTCACATAGATTTACCCCTGATTGGAAAATTAATTTTTTACAGTCATGCCATTTAGCATCTGTTTTCAGTTGCATGGCATCATGAAAAGACTCACAGTGTTTTTGAAACAGGATGTATCCAGTGTTAACAGTAACAAAGCAGAGAAAATGGAAGCTTAAAATTTTGTTAAAAGCACACAAATAAGTAAGAACACAATGTACTAGCTAACATTTCACATTCAGACATCTAAAGTTAATCCCCTGAAATAAAGGTTGAACCTGGATGTATAGATATTATTATTAGAACGCTCTTAACCACAGTTTCCATGAATGGTAGGTAGGCTCAGAAACTCCAGAGGTTACTGTTTCTCAGCTGCAAAGTAAATAAAACCTACAGTGACAAAATCAAAACATGGGGACTTCCGGAGGCCATCTTTCCTATTTTCTCAGCCTCCCTCAGCTGTAATAATCATGTCAAATGACATGATTTCTGCTTCCATCACATCAATCAGTTTGAGTTACCTGTAGAAACTGCAGAGCAGTTAGAGAAAACTATGTCCATTTCTCTTGAGAGAAAATAAGGTACTTCCTCAGGAACAATGTGATTCTGGAAAACTGGTGAAAGCTATGACAAAACTAAAAAGGCGAAGTATTAAACACAGATTACCTGGGCACCTACTCTAAAAGCAGCTTCCACTTGAGCTTTGAGGATGTTGCACTTCATATGGTCAGGTGCAGATGAAGGTGACACAGGGGCATGAAGAATCTTTTCAGATACCTTCTTGTCTTCACCCTATATTTAGTAAAAAAGATAAGCACAGTGGCATATATTAGAAAGGTAAGTTTACAAAATGATCAAAGGTTTAATTTTTACTTGTAATAATTTGATTCAGCAATACTGGATAGAACTTCCATGTTCATATCCTGATAGATACATCTCAGAAGTTTTCAAAATAATTAATGACTTGATACTATTTTCAAGACAAGAATAGCCTCAGGGAAGCTTGAGTAATAGAAGCAAGAAACTGATGTGGAGTGAAGATACAGGAAAAAAAGCCCAGCCAGGCCCTGGAGTGGTTGCCCAAACCTGTGATCACACTGTGGAAGAAAAGTATTATTTCAAAATGTCCCACAACAGGCAGAAGAGAGAACAACACAACAGAACACTGACATCTTACATCACCTTTCAAATGTAAAGCTTTGCAAATTTAACCAGAGGGATGTGAAGTGATCTCCACTTAATTACAAGCCCAGCAAAATCTCTGTCATCAGAAAGAAAAGAAAAGAAAATTCCAGGGGGTTTAAACATTGCTGCTGCTGTTTCCACTTGATGTCAACCCTTTACCTACATAGCAATCTGGATGAGAAATTGTAGCCTCAGGACAGCTAGTTTAGTGACCTGCTCAAACACAACCTAAAGGTTTTGTGCCTTAAACAAACTATATTCAGCAGAAATGCCAACATGAACAAACTTTCCATGCAGAAAAGGAAAATAAACAAAAAAAAAAGAGACAAATACTAATGTATCAACAAACAGAATGAATGAGACCAGGATTGTAAACATGAACGCTTAAACAAAAGCCTGTAATATGTTACATATTTTTAAAGAATAATTGGGCAATGGCATAACACCCATTGCAAACTTTCCTATTCTTCTTGTAAATAAGACCTGAATTATAGATGAGTAATAGCCTAGATTATGCATTTTCCACTCTCATTGCTGAGAAGAGTGAGTGGTTGTATACATCCAGATAGAACAGATATATAATGCAGTCACTCAGATTTCAGCCTAAACAGGTACAAGGCATCAGTAAACCAAGTCCAGTGATCCTTGAGGTTCACCTCTGTCGAAGTATTTCAGGACAAAACCTATTTTTTTCAGTTTATTTTCAGTTATGTACTGAAACTACCATGTGATTAGTTCTCTAACTTCAAAATATGCCTCTTTTTTCCTTCCTTCTGCCCTCCCCGTGGCATCCCACTGGCTGAAGGCAACTACAGTCTTACTGACTCTTTTCTCAGGTCCTTGAACAATCACAGAAAAATGGGAACATCAAGATTCTGGGGACACTTTCTGCAAGTGGAGCAAATAACAAATGCAACTGTGTTGCCTGAGGAAACTGCTCAGCAAACATTGGGAAGGGACAGAGCCAGACCTCTGCAGAACTCTATTGAGACTGCAAGATATTTGTGTGTATTCAAAGTTGGTCTAGCAGACTTCTGCATCCAAAATGCCATAGCTGCCAGGTACGACTTTGAACAACTGTCTGTTAAAAGACTGCTCATCATGAGATTTTTTTTTCTCTGGCAAATTTCTAATAATTCTTACATGTTTATTTTTCAAGCTACATTTACTTTTTTTAGAAGATGATATTTTTTGATTTTTCATTCTCCCCACCTTCCTCCTAAGGGAAAAAGAAAACACATAAAATGAAAAGTGACAGTATCTAGCTGGAGCAACTTAGTCATCTATTCGGTCTTGAATATAACAGTAGTTCTGGCAAGTATATGAAAAAAGCCCCAAAACCCATGAAATATTTGTTTGCCAAGGCTGCCTTTTCTGGGCTACTCATGCAGCTGAGATGTGGAGATACTCAAAAGGACGAAATTAATTGTAAAAAAAGCATAACTTTTACTTCACCGATAGTCTTGGCAGCCAAAGAGAACTACTACACATTTTAAAAGGGCTGCTATTACTGTTAACTTTAAAGTGTATTGACTTCTAGCAGCAGAAAGAACAACACACTAAGTAAGCAGTGGCATTTATAAAGGCCATGCAAAATCCCACCTTTGTTTTAACACTGGATACTAATTAAACATCATTTTAGTCAAGTAAGATTAAGGAATGGTATTTTACTAGCTAAAACAAGACAACTAATGCTTGTTGAGGAGACTAGCTTGTTTTGTAACTAGAAAAGTTCCAAAGTCCCATCTATCTATTATTCAGATGGTATGAATATTTTTCAGTCCTTATGTTCTTCCTCCACTGCCCAATTTTCCCACATTGACCAAGAGGAAGATAAAAGCTCCCAAGGCTACCTTTTAGCTGGGAACCCTCAAAAGGTCTAAATCTCCTGCTGTATTCAGGATTATGCCAGACGACTCCATGTAATGGACATCCCCAGTATGAGATCTGATGTGCAAGTCTCACATTGAGATTTTCATAACCTGAGAGGTCCAAATGCTGATGCTTGCTGACCTGGCTGAAAGGGAAAGCTGCTGCTGCTAGAGGGGACACACTTCTTAAAAGCCATTTCTGGGTATTCAGTACTACTTTAGCCCTTGCTCGGGCCACACTTTAGGGGTTTCACCTTCAAGTGAGCAAAATTTGCTTTGCTTGCACTGCAACAAGAGCAGCAGTACCTTTAGTGACTGATCACACATGAAGAGCAGACATTGCTGCAATAGCTGCTCGGCCTCGTCCTGCTCACCAGATGCTGAGCCAGTAGCTGAAGGCCACCACATCCCCCTGCCCCAGTGGGAATGCTGACTGCACACAACCCCCATATGGGGCTTGGGAGTGCTGGATCTGACCCAGACCTCCTTTATCTTCTGAACATACGTGAAAGGTTGCTTTGCCAGCCTGCCTTGGCAGTGGAGGACTTTTCTGCCACAGTGCAGCACATCCTGAATTCTGCTCTCCCGCAGCTGATTAGCTGAGATTATTGCACACAGAGTCAGTGGCACTGAAGATTCAAACTAAAAGTGAACTCAAATCACAGAACAAAGTAGGACCTCCTTACTGCAGCCCGTTAGCGTTTATAAGCATTTATATAAGTTCCTATTGTTCCTTAATGTCACTAATATTTACATATAAGCTCACTCATCCCCCAAATTAACTCCGAAAGTATAACTGTCATCAAGAAGGCAAAAGAAAAGAAAAGATTTCAGGGATAGAAAAATACATGCAGGATCTTCTATGGTTCATTTCACTAGTTTATAAGAAAATCAAAGGTCTAAAACCTGCCTGCATTAGGAATCTCTATATACTATTGCTGAAAGAATGAAAGCTGTAATCTCATTTATTTTGCTATATAATAAAGGAATTTTACATTTCCATTTTACAATCCTCACTGCTTGCAGTGATGAATAAAGCATAAAGACAGCAGCTGGGTATTCAGATGTTGACCCGGGTTGTCAGTTATTAAAACTTCGTTTTCATTTATAAACTAAGAATATTCTGTTTGGAAGTCATTAGAAAGCTAAACATGGCATAATGTTAATGAAAATTCCTATTTTACCATTTCTTATTATGTAATTCAAAACAATCTTAGATGGCCTTTCAAGTGAGTGTCTTGGAGTCAAACTTGCATTTGAAAGAGATCATTTTCTTGCTTAGATTTGCAATTTAAACTCATCCTAAAAGGTTTAGAAAGGAAGAAAAAAAACATGAAGATACCTGATAACACTCCAGTTCTGCTGGTGCTAAATAATAGCAATATGTTCACATTGCTTTCACCAGTGATGAAGAATTTTATTTTTCCAGAGGAGAACACTGGAGAATTGCAATTAAATGGATAGAAGTGGGTCAAACAAGCTCAGATATAAACACACATAAAACTAGAGGCATTTTTTTTGTTTTGTAATCGAGGTCTTGGGCTTGTTTTTCTCCTCCCAAACATTTACTTTAAATTCAATTACATTTGCTGGTACTAGAACTGAAGGCAGATTTGTACAGTGCTAGATAATGACGACACTGGCTTTAGTTTGCAAGTGAATGTTAAGTACATGCACAGAATATAAAAATAGTTGCATGAAACCCAGCAATTCCACTCTTGTACATACCATTTCCATTCTCTCTGCTTTAAAAGGTTCATGCTTTGTTCCACATCAAACTTTGTATCAAGAGCAAGATTCATGATCTTTCACCTCCGTGAATTTATCGATAGCCTCTTCTTAGCCAAACAGCATGTTTAAAACATGTATTTGACTGGACATAACTGAAGAATAGAATTAATATTTTCTTTAGGAATCTAGGTCTATTCTTTGTTGCTAGTCATCTCTACTAGTGGGAGGTAAAATTTTAACAAAGACAGCACAGATATATAGGTTCTGAAAGCACATTAGCTATATAAGATGTCCTGGGACTCAACTACATCCGCAAATGTGCATGGCAATCTACAGACTCTTTTGACACCTTTCTACTAGGAGACTAATTGATTTTTTTCCCCATGTGATAGCTAACATCAATTACAAACAGATACCACAATGATAAGACCTGTACAATTACATGTTATTCTTATTCGAGGCAAAATTTGCAAGCAGAAAACTGCAACTTCTTTATTAGAAAAAAAATACAACTGGAAAAAAAAAAACCCAGCCACCCCCCTCATTAAGCTGTCAGACACAAAAGATCTTCCCCATGTCAACTATCAATTGGTCTAATGAAAGATATAACTCCTGATAAATCTTGTTATGCTTATATCCTTGAAGCAAAGCTCTTTCAGTCTTGGTATCAAATTTATTTTATAAAACACTATTGCTCAGTATTATTAGATCCTGCCTCTGTCAGTGTCAAGCTTCACAGTAGTCTTACTGGGCCACAGAAGTGATGTTTCCCAGGACATACCCTCTGATCACACGCAGGAGTCTCATCAACAAAGTGAGTTGGTTTTGTGGGTTTTCTCAAACTACGAATGATTTTTGGAACTGCAGTAGCTTTAGGCTTTGCAGTTATGCATGGACAGGTAGTTCCACAGTTTTTTTTGCAGGTGGTATCATTTGCAAGCAGTCAATCTGCGTAAGTGGGCAGCTCTGTAATATGGTCTTGTCCTGCTAGCAAAAGGCCATAAGCTTCGAACAGTTTGCAAAGACAGTAAGGTTCATCAGGTTCGTTCTGTCTGAAGCTTTCTCAATCTGCCTGAAGCTTTGTTCTACTAAGTCTAGCTGTAACAGCAGTAATTTTATATATGGGAACAGTAACACAAATGGTTTTTCTTTGTAGAATGAAATATTTATGACTCTAACACAAATATGTAGTACAAAGCAATGTAGGGCTGGTATGATAATGGGGGCCTTGAGAAGTGAAGACATAGGACACAGGGTAGAGGAGAGCTGACAAAGAGTGATAGCCCAAGGGGCACGGGCTGGCACTGGGGACCCATAGCTATGAACAACTCACCAATGGCCATTTAAAGTGCAGACCTTGACCTGGAAAAAACTGGTTTTAGGGGCAATGAAGAGAGTGAAGACAAAGTGTATAGCATACAGATGTAAAAGCCATCATGTACAGTAAATTAGGGTGTAATGTGAAGATGCAGATCAGTGAAGAAAGAGCAAGATGTAAATGCTTGTTTGCAAACACACGAAAGGACCCAAAGTATATCCTAGGATGGAACATTGGAACAGGCTGCCCAGGGAAGTGGTTGAGTCACAATCCATGGAGGATGTGCCATGATCTAGTAAATGGACTGGATTTGGACCAAGGGTTGGACTCGATGATCTCGGAGGTCTTTTCCAACCCAATCGATTCTATGATTCTATGATTCTATGATTTAAAAGACGTGTAGGTGTGGCACTGAGTGACATGGTTTAGTGATGGACTTGGCAGTGGTAGGTTAACAGTTGGACTCAATGGTCTTAAAGGTCTTTTCCAACCTAAACAATTCTATGATTCTCTGACCATTATAACATCCCCTCTGACCCCAGCAGAATGAAATCACCAACCTTAGGATCCAGGGGTGTAGGGGAAGGGTGAGCATAACACCAGGAAAAGTGGCAGAAACAATTTGAAATGTATTATTATTCTTTGTTTTTATGTAATAAGTACATCTGGGCTAATAATTACTAGACTCCCAAGATTTCAGAAATGCTAGCAATACATTTTTGGTTTTATGTCATACACACACACAGAGCAATGGGGGATGGGACAACATATTCTTCTAATGAAAGGCTTCCAAGAAGAAAATCAGAAATACATTCACTTAGGCTTGTCTCTTCTGGAGATTAGGGAGTCCACTAGCACCAAAGGACATGAAACTCATGTTGAAATGGACTTTCATCATTCAGTAGGTGGACAGACATATGATACACTATAACAAACAGCTCTGGGAAAGAGAATGGACACATCCATTCATCATTCCCATGAGACAAAGTTTGCTGTAGCAGGCAATCAAATTAATTAACTGCTGAATCTAATTTACTCAAATTCTTGTTAATTCTCCTATGGATTGATTATTAAGCCTGACAAATTCCAGCCCAAAAGCACTTCGCTTCAAAAAATAACAATTAGCAACAGGAAGGGAGGGAGTGAGTGAAAACTGAGACTTCACAATAGATGTGGAAACCACCGCTTTTTTTTTTTTCTTTCAAAAATAGAGTAAATGAAACAGCTCTTAATAGATTCACTGGTTTTGTTTAAGCATAATATTTCAGAGGATGCAAAACTAGGGAATAAAAAGCACTTAGTAGACCAGAAATCAATGGAGTGGTGCAGGAGAGGTGTTAACATTTCATTTTTTTGCCAGAAACTACACAGATTGACCACTCATTGAAATCTTTTTGCTGCTGCACTGAGTAGCTAGTTAACTACCATAACCAAAGGAACTTTAAAGGCCACGGTCTCAGTGAAAAATACTTGTCACAGTTCGTCAGTTCATGGTTGATCAATTTTGTCTAACTTGCCTCATTGCCGTTGTGCTGGGCAATGCTCCACAGCATTTTAGCCCAGGGTTAGCCCAATATCTACAGCATGTCCCTCTCTTTCATTGGAGAAGCCATCTGCTGAGGCAACTCCAGGCTCTGCTCAGAGCTCAAAGACCTGTGGTTTACTGGTTTTAGCTTTATGAACTCTGTGTACACATTTTACCAAGATCTAGGTCAAAAAATGGTGCTTGAAGAAGAGACCATAAGCAAGGGGTGAAAGAACTTCAGAATGACTTGCCACAACCCACAGCTTGTAATGTGAGGGCTGGATCACTGAGGTGCTTTCTGGTAGTGATTCTGGGCCAGTTTCAAGAGTATGTACAATTTTCAGATGGCTCAAAACAGTAATTTTAATAAATTTTGAGGGACTGGCCTCCTTTTCATTTGCATGGTAACTGCTGTTCATGGGACTGCTGCCCAGTTCTTAAACCCAAAGCCTCTATGGCTGCCAGGGGAGGGATTTCATTAGACAGCCCGTGTCTCTAGCCTTGCTTTTTGCTGAACTTCTGCCAGAAACAGAAGCATTTAGCAGCTCTTAGTGCTCATTACAAGAGTTTTTCATCAGCTAAACTTTGACTGATGGCAGTTTCACCACAGCAGACACAGGCTGCATTTACTGTGCAGCTGCATTTATTGTGAAGCTCTGACTTGCTATCATACTGGGTTCTGCTAATTAGTCCTTAAATAAATAATCCATCTGACTGTGGACAAGATTCTAGAGCTGTAAGGACAAGCCAAAGAAAACCATTAATTATAGAAGAGCTGAGTTCTCTCTTCACGGATTTGCAGCAAATAAGAGCGAGAGGATCAGAGGTCAGGCTTTGCCAGGCAGAAGTTGCAGGGACTCTATTGAGATTACTTGCACAGTATGGTGGAATACAGGACCAAAGTGTTTTAAGCTTTCAGTTAAAGAAAGAAGAAAGACCATAAATCTACTAATTTTTAAATCACAAGGGTACCATTAAGACCATCTGTTTGGGTCTTTCGTGCAACACAGGTCAGATTGGTTTACCCACTTGTGCACTGTGGTCCACATAGAGAGAGTCCTCTCACTTCTTCACTTTAGCCCTTTAAATATGCCAAACTGAGCTGTCAATGAGCTCAACAGGACAGTTCTTTAAAGTATGTTTTGGACATTGCACTTGAGTGAATGTTCTCAGCTGGGATTCAGATAGAGTATCAGTAATCACTTCAGAACTACAAAAGTCCTCTCACAAGACCTGGGTATTCACTGGATGAATCTGGGGTGGACAATTTTCCTTTGGCAAACTATGCCAATGCTTAACAAGCTTTGCCTATAAAAAACTGTACTTATTACCAGTTAAAAGTATTTCTAAAGGGACAACTTGAGAAATGTTCATGGATAAAAAAGATTACTTCTTTTCTTCTTTTCTATTTCACCCTAGTTTATTTACTTTATGATTTATCTTTTTAATTCCCACTCAAACCAACCAGAGAAACTGACAGTTTCTCACATGTGATAACAAAATAGACTTGGGAAAAAGTCTAAAATATTCCACCTTCATCTGTTCATAGAGAAGTCTCCAAAAATCATGACACAGGTCATGACCTCATGACCACATTCATAAGGCATAAGGACTACGGTCCATAGGTGAATTACACCACTATCCCATGACATACCCTGAACATGGTTCAAGGCAATCTTCATGACAGAAAATTCACTGCATTACAGAATAAGTTCAATTAACTATAATGTTGGAAAAAACTTCCAACATTTAATTTTTTCATTAGAAACACCTGACTCACTGATTTTCAGCCTTGACTTCCATCTTCTGGAATCCCTCATCAAGAGAAAAAAAAGATTCTGCTACATAGATATACTCCTTCGTGCTTGTACAAGCTCCTTTGTGCTTATATTTTTGGTACACGTGGTCATCTCCCCTTTGATTTTAATTTCCCTAATGTTTGTTAAAATAATATAAATAACAAAAGGCTGGTTGTAAAATTAAAAACAAAAAGGCTTTGTAAAACCAAGGTAAAGTAATTTAATTGAGTTCTCCCTTGAGCTGACTCAAAACTCTGCTTTGCTTTTAACAGATCTGTACGGTCACTGGGGGCCCAGACCCACCTCATTTGAAGCCAATGGCAATGCTCGCATTGACTTCACTGGATCCAGTCCAGGACCAATGTGGTTGCAAAACAGAGGTCCAGGTCTCTATGGCCCTATCCAGACTCAGATCAAGGCACCCCACAGTGCAGGCACAGTGAATTTAGCCTCATATGGAGTCACCAACCTGCTGGCCCCTGATCTCTGGCAGAAACAGTGGGACATGAATGTTTTGCCATCCTTGACAAAAAACTCACTCATAAAACACCCACTACTAACATCAGATGCCGGGGGAGTTAAAGGCATAACATGGACTCCTCATGTAGAAAAACAAGATTTTTGGTTTTTTATCACTTAAAGTGTTGTTATTTTTTTACAGCTCTGGGCTGCCTAGACGACTAACTCTTCACAACTGAACTAAACCTACATCATAACATTGTTGCAGCAGCTTATGAAATTTTAAAAGGCAAAGTTGATTGAAACGCTAAATCTAAAAACCAAATCCCAGTCCCAAAAGGAGACGGGGAGAGGTGATTAAAAAGCAAGCCGGTTGCAGATGAATGTTGATTTGAATTGGAGGTGAAAAAGCAGCAGCTTTTGAATATGAAGTGACAAAGGGGCTCTGGCATATATATATGTAAAAGTATACATGTATATGCTATACCTTGTTCATGCCGACGTGGAGGGCTGGCCATGGTCCAACTACCTTCACACTCTCTGTTTCTATTTTCTTCAGATGAGAAGTTTCATCATAAAGAAGGGGAAGTCCTGAGCTCAGTTCTAAAAAGATGCCCAAAAGAAAGAAAGAAAAAAACAGTCTGAAGGAGGCTACAGAAGAACTGCAGAGCAAGACACTCAATTCTATTTGAAGAGACAGTGGTCAGCAAAGTATCTTCCCTGTAAGACCTCCTAAAATGTTTCATAATTATGCCTGTCAGGCATTTCTATTTAGCAAACAATTCCTCCCCCTCCTGCTTCTCACCAATCCTTTCATTTCAGCAGGACTTTTGCCAGCTTTAGGATATATACTTCTCTCCTTACCTCCCCCCCACCTCTACCACCTCTATATTCTAAAACTCAGATGACACCAGAGGGATTATTTATGCAGCCAAGGTGCCATTCTCAGAACATGTGATGTGCAAAGAGATTAGAGTATAGCTTTTGGCTTCTCTCAGACATCTTTATTTATATGCCAGCCTCTTTAAGACTGTTGTCAGGAATTTGCTGTGCTTTGTCAACAGAGATTTTGAGCAAGCCACCGACACACAAGGATAAGGAAAAATACTTTTTGAGACAGCTCTGAAAGGTCTCCGTCAACATATTGGGGGTGGTGTGGCATATATATGTATATTTGCAAGTACTCTGAGAAAAATAAACTTCATCATGTGATGATTTAACTAATCTCTGTGTCTTGTATTTCTTTTTGCCATGGATTCTAGGTAATAACAGTTGGGAACAATCCGGTAATCTCTGGAGTCTGATTCAAAGCTCACTGAAATCAATAAAAACCTTGCACTGGCTGCAGTTTGGTTTGGATCAGGTTCTTAAGCTGTCCTAAGAATATTAAATATTACTCACTCCAGATCTAATTCTACAGCTGTTTAAATATACATTAAGGGCTTTGCTGACTAGAGACAAATTGCTAAAACCAGCTTATAGGGATATAAGCAAAAATCTGGTTTTGGCATTAGTGAAACATAATCAGACCCTGAGGTAATAAAGTCCTAGAAGGGGTTACAATATCAGTATTGACCTCCCCTTGGTGGTCTCTCATCACAAGCTAGTGTTGCCAGGGGTTGCCAGAGTTCAGCATGTCTCACATCACAGCTGACATTGTGAAACTGCCCAATGATACCCTGGGAATAAACTACCACAGCCATAAGATAAGACATGATGACTTTTTTTTTTAAGAAACACAATTGTTCTATTTTCTTAGAGGGGGGAAAGTGCCTTATTTAAATTATTCAAGTTTGCTATGTTTTAAAATGGACTTCTAAGCTGCTTTTTTTGTTTAAAGGGATAGCTCTGGAAAACGAGCAGGCCAGTTTAGCCTTTTAACTCAACCTTGAAAACAGATTAAAAAAAAAAGGCAAAAAACTGCCTACAAAAGGCATAAATTTCCTGAATCAGCACTAAGTCTTGGCAAAAAGCAGGCTTTCATTCCAAGAAAGGATCTGGCAGCATTGTGGTTTTTCAAAGGACTGTTTTCAGCCTGAAACTCAGTCTGTGTTAGACCGTTGTCTGCTCAGGGTTATGCAAGGTCTTTCGTAGCGAGCAGTTCAGGAATAAAGGATGTCTTTTTAGAAGTGATAACCTGCAAGCTCAGCCCAGAGTTCAAGAGGCAAGCTGGGTCCCTTCTTCCCAGTCATCATTTTGTGTCATAAAAATTCTGTGAGCTGCATTGCATACTTGTTTGCATCTGCTTTCAGTGATAGCCCCAGCTGCTGCCGGTGAGTCTGCTCATGTGCATCTGGTAATCCAGGCACGACATTGCTGTGCCAATTAGGCTTAGCAAGCAGCTCGCCCTCTCTGTGCTGCAAGGCCAACTGCTGTTGAATACAGTGGTCTTTGGGACTGGGGTTCTGTGAACATGCTGGGGAAAGATGTCCTGTGAAGAAGATGTGATCTGTGTACGTGAGCTTTGAGGTGAAGAGCAGCATCGCAAATACAATAATCAGGCTGAATGCAGGAAAACAACATCTTATGCTGAACTGCCTTCATAAACACACACATCAGATTTGTTTCACCAGATTTCACTTTCTCCAGTAATTGAAGTAGACAAATTACTTGGAATGTGAAAAATCAGGTAGGTCTGGCCTGGGTTTGTTTTCTGTAACAAAGTCCCAGGTTGTGTGTTTGCTGAGAAACATGCACTGGTATTTAAAGGGAACTTCGGTTGGGCATACTGTTGTTTCCCTCTCTCCTGTCTGTGTCCTGCTAATTGCACTGGAATTTTGGCCTGTATCAGAATAGATGCAAGGCAGATGCTTTCTACCTCTTTCAGCCCAATGCTGATTACATATTGGTGGGTCATGCCACGTTCCACTTTAGATGAATTTAAAACCATTTCAGAGCTCAGAGATAAGTCCAGTCCATAGCAACTGGAATAAGTCACAAAACACCTGTGGTCTCTTGGAAAACCACAAGGTAGGCAAATTGAACTGCTCATGGAGAAGTTCCCGCTAAGATAGCACATTCCCCCAGGAGACCTTTTTGCTCTTCAGGCATTTCCACTTCAGATATTTTGGTCACAAGCCCCCACTTTCCTGAGAGTGTTCCCAGGTTAGTGACCACTTACTTCCTAGAAACGCTTTTCCAGCAGTGGCCTTTCCACACAGCCTAGAGCCAGACATCCGTCCCCCATGTCCTCATGTTCCTGACACAGACCACTGATAGCGTCTCCTCTCTGCCTGATTTTTTTCTTGTCCCACACACTCTGCCACATGTGCTGTCCCAGAAAACTGACTGACAGCCAGCATGCTCCTAACCATTCCAACGTGAACCTTTACCACAGGCTCTCTACAACAGAATTTTCTCAGCTGCAATAGCATGAGCAGCATTTTAATGAAAACCAAACCAAGTCCCCTCAGCACCAGCCTTGAAAAGGCACTTACACCTGTCACCCCAAACTGCAAATGGGTAACTCTGATTCTGTTTTAAGGGAAGTGGTCCTACCCATACTGCCACTGCTCTCACAGCATAAACATGCCAGGACTAACCACGGACTGCCTTTTCAAGGACAATCAGCTTTGCACCTCCATCCTGATGCACAAGCACAGGTCTCCGCAGGGGATCAGTGATGCATTGCTGTGGGACAGCATGCCTATGTCAATACAAGCCAGCACACAGCATGCGCAGCTACCCAATAGCTCAGCTGGGAGCATCTGGCATGCTTGCACCACAGCCTCCCCTCAGAGGTGTCTGGTCCCTTTCTGCTGCCTTAAAGAAACTGGGAATTGGCATTCAGTGTTACTGGTATTAGGCCACGTCAGAAACCAGCACCAATTCTCTTCTCCTGAATCAAACAGCCTTAAGCAGACAAAGTGAAGAGGAAGGTAAATGTGTCTCCAGGAGCAGGTGCCACACACAGGTCTTGGCTGCTGAAGTCCCCTTCAGAGCATGGCAGCTGCTGGACAGGCCGGGGAGGCTGCTCCCCAATAGCACTGCGAGGTTTGGGGGAGAGGGCTCGCCCTCCTCATGCCTGGGTGAGGACACGCAGCCTCCTCGGCCCCTGTTTTATCTCAAAGGTAACACTCACTGGGCACAAAGAGAACTGCTCCTGATGTTTGCCCTTGTGCTCTTCTAGGTTTTTTCTAAGGTTATTTCTGCAATAAGGAGAAGCAGGAAAGCTGTGTGACCTAGAGGAGACAGAGTGCTGGAATAAACACCTTGCGCTGGGTGGTTTTTGCTGTTTCTTTAATTACCTCCTGTTCTCCAGGTGGGCCCAAGGCAGGGGGGGAAGCTAGAGACTAGCCCTGCTGCAGCACTTCTGGGGCTGAAGCCGAGGTGCTGTGAGGCTGACACAGAGCCATGAGCTGGACAGGGGGAGCCTCTAGGAGGGGGATGGGGAAAGCAGGGCTTGCAGTGCCCTCCGGGTCGGGACACTCAGCAGCAGCAGAACTGGCTCTGAATGAATTTCCTGGCATGCTTCAGCTCTAATTTGGGAAAGGAAAATATGGGCTGGCACACCCCCCAGAAAGGTCACCGCCACCCACTGTGCCAGGCTGACAGCCCGGCCAAGGCTTTCCAGCACAGCCTTGCCAGCACCCCTCCATGGCCAGTGCCTGGCCGGCACACAGGGCGGCCCTGCAACAGACCCACGGAGGCCCAGCTGGTGCAGGGCCAGGTGAGCTGCCCAGCAGTTCCCCAACAGGACGGTCTGTACTTCCCTCCCAGATAGTGCTGCAGAACAGGGCCAAGATGCAGATACTCATCGGTGGCACAGGAGCACCCAGCAGCCTGCTCTGGGCCTCTGTGGCTGTACCATGCAGGGGGTGGCCATGCTGGCCATGCTCCATGCCAGCCTCATGTGCTTCCCAGCACGAAGGTACGCCACTGTGCAGCACACAGTCAATGGAAAACAACACTTCTTCTGGAGTTGGCTCCTAAGGGAGTAGCTTCACTGAAAGTCCTAGCAAGCAAATCATATTGCTGCTTAGGATTCCTTCCTTAAATGTCTACCATGCCTTGCATTTTATTTCTTGAGCTTCCCTTCTAAAAACTATCCCCTTCTTTTTGGAAAAGAAAATTAAAGAAAATGTTTCTAAGTTTCTGAAACAAAGTCTGATTAAAGTGCTTGTGCAGGTAGATGCCTGTGTATTACTGCTGATGTGGGACGGCCTACAGACAGGGTCACTCAGCACCATCCATTACAAGACCATGGTTTCAGGAATTTGAAAACTGTCAGATTAACTGACCAGGCTGAAAGTTTCCATAATGGATGCCTGTTTTAGGGTGATTTACAGTTATGAAGGCAGAAACTGGTCAAAGGAAGAACTCATTGTTCCCTTGAAACAAGGAAAATAATAGATAGTATCTTGTTTTGCCCATCTTCTGAAATTCTTACACAGTTCCAGTATCTCACATAGTGGAATGTAGAGTGTAGAGATTTTAAATTTGGAGAGCAAGCAATAGGACTGCTCAATGACAGAGATGTTTCTCTTTCAGTTCCTGTCTAAACCTACAAACATTTGGCCTAGCTACATACCATTAAAAATGCCTGTACACGTTCAGCAGCAGAGACTTACACCCAAACTCCCCAAGGAACATCAGGAACAGATAGGCCTCTCTCCTCTTTGATTTCTACAAGCCCAGAATTTCTGCACCAAGGAAGTAAGCATATTCCAGTCATGATAGTGCAGTAATTGACCCCATTACCCAAACTAAAAGCAAGATGCTGTTTGTCCAGTGCTCCAAAATTTCTGCTGCTTGTGCCCAGACATGAAAGCAAGAGTCAGATCCAAACAATGAGGGCTGAAGGCCAGCTGGGCAGATCAGCAAAAGACAAAACCAGATGAAGATAGGTTTGTGAAAATATACAAATAAATAGTAACAATGAAAAAATAGCCTGTGCCAAGTGGCTAGAGACTCCGTATCTGTGACTAATTGGGTATTTGTTCAACTACGGAACACCAATCTAACACCAAATCCTGCAACCCCATAGCAAAGCCAGGAAATTGCAAATCTTGTCTCATTTGCACATGCTACAAAGCCAGCGAATAATAACAGGATACATATTCTTCAAAGAGAAAAACTGAAATGCATGTCCTTCCCTTCCCTTCCCTTCCCTTCCCTTCCCTTCCCTTCCCTTCCCTTCCCTTCCCTTCCCTTCCCTTCCCTTCCCTTCCCTTCCCTTCCCTTCCCTTCCCTTCCCTTCCCTTCCCTTCCCGTCCCTTCCCTTCCCGAATCTTCCCTTCCCTTCCCTTCCCTTCCCTTCCCTTCCCTTCCCTCCCCTTCCCTTCCCTTCCCTTCCCTTCCCCTTCCCTTCCCTTCCCTTCCCTTCCCCTTCCCCTTCCCCTTCCCCTTCCCCTTCCCCTTCCCCTTCCCCTTCCCCTTCCCCTTCCCCTTCCCGTCCCCTATCCCCTCTTTACCAGAGACAAATCTGAAAGCAGCACAGTTACTGAAATGACATTCACTATAGTGGACTTACTGGTTGGGTTTGGAACTCCAGAAACAATGTCCTTGCTGTCGGGAGCAAGGGCGCTGTAATTCGCATGGTGGTGGTGATGACGATGGTGGTGGTGGTGCCTTGCAGGCATTTTTGTGGTATATGGTGTTCCACCATTCTCCTCAATGTTGAACTGGTGCAGATCACTGTTGTTCAAGGGATAGCTACAAAATAAATTCAGTTCAAATTAGAGCAGTAAACAGTAGTACCAATTGTACTTTTGGAGAGACAGAGTGAAAACTTCCTTGGGAAAAAAATGCATAGCTTTTTTGTAAATAAAAGTTTTAACAAGGTATATCCCAAATCTTTACAGTTTTCTATTCACACGAGATCCATCAGATGAGAAAAAAGAATGCCTCTGCTTGTTAGTATGACTTTAAGATCAGAATTATTTTTGATTTTACACACTACACAATCTCTGCTACAATCTTCCCTAGGAAAGGAAAGGTGTTAGGCAGCAAACAATAACTCCTTTAAAGTGAAATTGTCCAAAGAGCAGACCAAGGAACAGTACCAGAATAACATTAAATTCCTGAGAAAGTTCAGTTCTTTACAATTCTGGTGCAAAATAGTCATATAAAAAGTTTCTAACTTTGGGGAAAAAATGGAAGAAGATCCCATTGGAAATTAAAGATTTTACAGGTAACAACATACGAAACAGCACTTGGTCAAAAAGGAATTAGACCTATGCTGGTAAACTAGTTTGGGGTTTTTGGGTGTGTTTTGGGTTTTTTTGGGGTTTGGGATTTTTGGTTTGTTTTTTTTTTTGGTTGGTTGGTTGGTTTTTTTGCATGTGTTTAGTTAGAACTATCATCAGTCTACAATATAAGAAGAAATGGGGACACACTGACATTTTAATTCATCATCTCTAACTCAGAGGTGACATATGACACTGCTGCTTTTCTTCAATAGTTTTAATGGATGCTGTATCAGTTTATTGTTTGAAATGATGTTGAATTTCTAGAAATTATATTTTCTCTCCATGCCAGCAAACAAAAAAGATTGAGATAACTCTGCATAGATATTGCAAATGACTTGACTGTGCTTTCCTCAGAGGAGTGCTTAAAATTTTTATAAGGTTTTAACTTATTCTATAGTCTTGCATTAGACAGTAGTTGCAGTAAATCAATTCATTCCAAGAAAAGATGAATCCCCTGACTATTTGAAAAATGCTAAAGAAATTATATCTTCAGCTGCATGGGTTTTCATTTTGCTTTTATTACTAAGAGCAGCCAAAAACTTGACAATATGGAATAAAGACAAACAGAATAATTAGAGGAACAATGAATACATTATACCTAAGCTACTTGCTACATATGTTCTCTGCAGATTACTTAGTGATTCAAAGCAAAATTAATCAGTCATCTGCAAATAAACACATCTGTATAATTTCCAAAGTTATACTGAAGAATGCAACTGGGTACATTATTAATAACCACTGTCTTCTTAGTAACAACTTCTGACAACATGAGGTTTCTGACTGGGTAGTAATTGAATAACACTTTTATGCTGATTACTTTTTGAAAGCAGAAGGCGGGGAGGGGAATGTTGTGTATATTAATCTTGGCAGGTTCCCAGCATGTAGCAACCACTGCCAATAAAGGCACTTCTGATGCCTTATTTGACGTAAGGAAACAATACAAATAGGTGTCTGATCCACAGGGGACAGCTTTGGTGAGCTCAGATAATCCAGGACTGGTCTGCCTTTTCAAACTGCACTATATCTCCACTGTTATAATCAAATCAAGCAAGTGCCTACAGGGAGAAAATGGTACAGGCTAATGAGATTGCAAACTAATTGTAGCAGCTCTCCTGCACTCCACCTTCAAGCACCGTGGTGACAGTGACATTTTTTGACTGAGGGGGTAGGTGGTTTTGTTCACATGGTTAAAAGCCTTATGGGAAACAAGATCAGTTTGGGGCTGAAGCCTCAGCACATCTTTTTTTTCAGACTATAATTGAATTTTTTTTCCAAGACATAAACCCCCACATGCTTTGGAGTTTCTTTCATTTCACCCACTGGCAGGCTGGTTTAGCAGATTTTCAACTGGTATTTTCAAAATTAATCACACCCAATCCTTACACTGACTCTTCATATTGCTATGGACCCGAGGTAACTTCCATGCTAAAACGGGAATGAGCTGAGCAACTGAATGAGCCAACTGAATTGCCCTCTGGCGTGAGGGCAAATGTGCACCAAATGCACTAGTTGTATTTCTTGACTGTCCAGAGAGGAGAGCTCACACCATGTAAAATGTAAAATGCAAGGAGACAATTACTTCAAAGAAGTAAACAGGTGGCCCAGAAAAGCTGATGTTCAGATATGCACTGAAACCCTTGAGGACAGGTCACAAAGCCCTAGACAAGGTGTCAATGCCCAGGCAGTGCACTCTGATGTGAAATCCCATGTTCAAACTGCTGGCCCATTTAAAAGGATGTGGTAATTTGGACTTTTCCAGAGCTGACAGCAAATGACAGATGTTGAGGCAAACTCAGCTCAGTGGTCAGCTAACTCTTGCATTTCTGATGGATATGAGGGTGGGCTTTTGCACCCATACCCTCACTACTAGACCGGTGAGTTACTGAACAATCATAAACAACAGACCTTGCAGCAGTCCCAGAGCCAGTTGACTAGAAAAGCTGACAGTACTCAAACAAAAAGATCATGAGTATTCTGAATCCCTTTTCTGTGTACTCTCACCTATATATTTTAGGGGCACACTGGACATCTTACTGCAGTTTCTACAAGGTGGCATTATTATTATCACATATCACATCTGTTTTTTGCTTACATTTCTGTTCTTCCACTGTCTTCAATCTATGTTTTTCGCCTCAGTGCATTTTTTTGTCATTAACTTTGCTTTCTATTGCTTGCTTCTATCTGGCTTACCTGAATAGAAAACATGCTCATGCATCCTTCCCAATCCATTGAGGCAAATAAATCACTACTTTCAATGAACCAACTTTCTGACCATATTCTAAGCTATCCAGGTATTCATACTTGCTCTTTAAACACCAAGTAACGCTCTCAGACTATGTGCATTACATGGATAGGTAGCAGTTTTCATCCTTTCTCTTGTACCTGCATTTTGGCCATCCTAGTATGCCAATGTAACACCCTCGCTTTACCTTTTAACAGCTTATTGGCTGTCTTGCAGGTTTCCTCTTTTTTCCCTGTTATTTACTGGTGTAAATAACAAGCTCAGCTGCTTCCTATAAAACCAATTCCTGTCCTTCAAGGAAAATGAGTCAGGGCCCTACAGCCTATTGTGTAAAGGAAGAAAATATTTCTTTCTTCTCTGTCCCTCACTCAGGCAAAGCACTCCAGAGGATTCAGTTACTGAAGGCTGAACCTTCAAAAAAGCCACTTAAAGTTCACAAAACAGTTGGTGTTGCCTTTAGACTCAGAGACACAATTCCTGCCTTTGGACTAAAAAGGCAGCACATCGAGGAACAGGGCAAATAACATGTATCTTCTGATTACCTTTTCCATTTAAAAGTTTTATTTACATTACTATTTCTCTGCTCCAATTTTATGCTCCTCACGCTTTACCTGAAAAGCTACTTTCAGTTGACATTCTTAGATTTCATGTACTCCAGTCACCTACTGCCTTACTAAACCATGTCTCTAGTGTACAATTTGCACATACAGCAAGTGTTAAGAGAACAGAGGAAAATGGGGAACAGAAAGGTTTTTGAAAGCCCTCAAACCCAAAGTATGCAGGGCTGCATTACCCCAATTGATCAGCTGAACTGAACCTCCAACGCCTTCACTAGCAGAGACTCCACAACCCTCCTGTGCAATTGATTTCAGTGTCTCACTATGCCTGTGCATATTTCTTTGTTTATTCTGTCTCCTTTACTGCAATTTAAGCCTGCTATTTTCTCTCCCATCCATCACAGACACAGTAAGAATGTTATTTCTTGCTACAGAAACCTGTGTTTTTGAAAATGGCCCTTCACATCTCCCCTCAGAGTCTGAAGAGCTTTGAATTCTTCAGTTGCCACTCACAGGTCACACATTTCCTACACCTCTGATACATTTTGCCACTCTTGTCCATCTGGCGGCCCCCTGCTCTGACTCCAACATGCGATGCTCAGAACCGGACACCCCATTCCAGCTGAGGCCTTGCAAACACATTCCAAAGAAGAAGAGTTGCTTCCCATGTCCTACAGGATTTACTCCTGTTTATACACTGGAACATGACATCTGTTTTTCTCTATATAGCCTGCAATTGTTGACTCGTATTTAACTTCTGATTCTTGAGAACACCAGATCCTTTCCTAAACAGGCCACATTTCCAGCCCTACAACCTCAGCTGTGAAGCAGGTTACAGGTTACTCCTACTCAACAGCACAAACATACCATCATTCCTCCTGAGCTATGCCCTCATCTTTCTGATGTGCTAAGATCAATACCCATTCAGGACTCTTCTCTCATCTATGACAGGCCTCATATGAGAAGACTCCCACCTCTGAATGACAAGGGACTTTTTAAAAAAGAGTAATTGCCCTTCTGTGTCATCTCCACAGCTGCCATCCTCATTCTCCTGGACAATGTAACTGTAGCCCTGAAGAAACATCTTTCACCTGGTTTACTCATGCACCCCACCCATGTCCCCCTTTCCCCCACTCTTCCTCCAGGCACCTCCCACTTGTCTGAAGTTACACTTGGAGAGCAAACAGTAGGGCTTTCTTCTCTCCCCTCCTTCGGGAGGCTAGGGGTGGCAATAACAGAAAGCAGGCTCAAACGATCATGCCTCTTGGATGACTCTTTAAGAGTTTAGACCTTCACTACTGTAGCTGAACAGCAGTTTAAAAACATCCCAGGCTTCCAGGTCTGATTGTGATAACTAACCTTCAACAATTACCACACCCACCTCTATTTGCTTTGAACATTCCTCCTGCAACAAACCACTGCAATTTTCCACTATTTAAAAATCCTCAAACTTGATGCAAACACGTTCACAACCCCTCTTGATCCTCCACCATCTGAAGTTCAGAACAAGCCTGATAGCGTTTTGTGCAGGTTTCAGCAGCAAAATCCACACTGCCGGCTTCGTATTGAATGCACTGGGAGAGGCATCACCCACCATCATTTTGCCGCGACACCTTCCCCAGCATCAAAATGGGCTTTAGATGTGCTCCCAAATGGCAGTTGGGG